CTATCGCAAATGGCAGAATTTCATCTTTTCTTATGGCTGAGTAATATTCTATTCTATATATATATATGTATATATATATATGTATGTATCTCACACCCTCTTTATCCAATCATATATCGAAGGACACTTAGGTTTTTTCCATGTCTTGGCCACTGTGAATAATGCTGCAGTGAACATCGGAGTACATATGGTACATCTTTACGGAATGAATGTTTTCAAATTTTTCAGGTAGACACCCAGAAGAGGGATTGTGGGGTCATACGGTAATTCTACTCTTAATTTTTTGAGAAAGCGCCTTACTGCTTCCCAGCTTACGTTCCCACCAGCAGTGTACGAGGGCTCCTTTCCCTCTGCAACCTCTCCAACACTTGTTACCACTTGTCTTGTTGAGAACAGCCATTCTAGCAGGTGTGAGGTGGCTAGACATTTGTCTCTATGCTTATTAGATTTTTACAGTGTGTTCTTGCTTCTCTCCAATGGGACTGGGATCTTCTCACGGTCAGGAGCAGGCTTATTTCCTACTCTACACCTCCCCACAGGTGGGATGCATCGTATGTGCTCAACAAATATTCATTGAAGGAGAGAGTGAATTTGTGGCTAGTGAATCATCATTAAAAGGATGCCATTTGTATTCGCTGTCCTCATTTGCATTTAAGGCATATATGTCTCCTCTGAACTTGAGAAATCTCTGATCTTTAGGTGGCCGAGGGGGCAGGTTATTACACTATTATGCAGAGGAGCAACTGAGATCCGTTCACTTAAGCAGTATTTATTAGGTGCATGCCACACTCACTCCCACAATCCGCAGCATCATATAATGTTAATGTATTTACTTATTCATTCAACAATCATCGAGCAACTCCTAGTGCCAAGTGCTGGGCTGGTCTGCCATCCACCTCCACGGCAAGTATGGGGCAGCAGGTCTGTGAGTGGCTTTCAGCCAGAGTTCTGAATATCTATGCCAAAAAATGTTCCTAGGAAGAACCAAAAGGGTGAAGAGGAAAGAGAATAGGACTAACCCTTGAGGGGCGGAGGTGCTTAAGGCAAACAAAGGACATGAGCAGCAGAAGCAACCTGTGGGATGCTGGAGTGATGGGAGGGACTCTGAGGGGAGCTGTCCAAGGAGCCTGTTCTCCTCCTCCTCCAGGGCTCATCAGCCACCTAGGGCACGGGCTATTATCCACCTGGGGGCCTGCAGGGAGAGGTGGCCAAGCCCTCACCTGGGACAGTTCCCCAAGCACCTAGTAAGGACTGGACAAGGGTGTTGGCCAGGGAGGGCCACAGGGCTGGCAGGCCAGCCCTAGGCCACATGCCACCAGGAAGCCATCTGCCCGGTAGGTGCTGTACGAGAAGTCCATGCAGGCCCTCGACCTGCTCCTCCAGACCTTCGTCTCCGAGAACAAGAGCATGGATGAGGTCTGCTTCCTCTTGCAGGTGAAGATTGGGGGCAGCATGGGGTGTAGAACCAAGGGCTCCCGGTGCCCACCCCAGCCCTGGCCTCAGATTCTTCAGGGTCCACTCAGGGTGGGTCCTAGGCTGGCAGGTTTGCCCTACACCCTGACCCAAGTGCCCGGGGGCTGTCACCTCTTGTAAGGATGGTGGTGGGTGTTTGAGAAGAGTCAAAGACCCTGTGAAGGGCCGGGTGGCCCATTGACCTTATCTTCAAGTGCCCCTGGGGACAGGAACAGTCTCAGGAATGGTCTGAGGGTTCTCACACAGCCCGGGGATGCGCTCCTTCAAACACCCTGTCTTCTCTCTGATCCACCAGCCCCCCCAACTGTCACAGCCCTGAGGCTACTGAGGCAAACCCAGACCTCCACCAGACACTCCTCACCTCCAGAGCTCCCACAGCCCAGGGCTTTCCTGAGCATTCTGGAGTCTGTCACGTGGCCCCAGATCCAGGCTCTCCCGAGGGAGCTGGGCTGATGGACAGGCAGAGGAGGGTGAAACGTCTGGTGGAACAGGACCAACTATAGCCACCCCTCCCATTATCCAAGCCCAAGCAGCTGTGCCCTGGGCCAGGTCTGAGCTGGGGGGCGAGGGTGGGCCCGTGGGGTAGCCCAGTTTCCCAGGCTGTCTTCTCTCCATCCCAGCACACAGAACCCTGGCTGAAGTCGGATAAGAGCCATGAGCGCAAGCGGGTGGTGCAGTCCATCTTCCTGCTCCTGAAGTACTTGCTGGACTGTATGATACTCACTGTGAGTCTTCTGACAGCCCCCCATCTGCAGGAGGGTGGCCAGGCAGGCCCAAGCAAAGGGAGGGCAGGGAGCCCCCATGATGCTCTGCCTTGGTGTGGGGCTCACCTCCTAGCGGCCCTCAGATTGTGCAGTCAGTATTCACTGAGCATCTGGACCGGTAGGCATGGCTCTGGAGACAAGACACAAGCCCTGTCTTCATGGCAACCTTGCCTGTGAGCAAGGCTTGAAGGAAGGCAGGGAGAAAAGCCAGGAGCAAAGTGCTCAGCTGAGGCCCAGAGGTGGTCACCACGTATGCAGAGGATCCAGAGCAGCCAAAATAACTTTGGCAAAGGACTGAGTGGGGGACTGCTACTGCTGGATTTCAGGACTTCGTGGGAACCAAGGCCACGTGGCGGAGTAAAAATCGACCAAGAGATTGACTGAAAAAAAAAGAGGGGGCCCAAAACTAGGACTCCGCTTGTACAGTCGATTGATTTTCAACAAAGGCATCAAAGCTATTGAATGGAGAAAGAAAAGTACTTTCCACAAAAGTGCTGAAACAAGCAGAGGCCCAAATGGGGGAAAAAACAAACAAACCTCAACCCCGATCTCACAAACACCGCAAAAGTCATTCAGGATGAATCATAGAATGAAACGTCAAGTTTCTAGGAGAAAACAGAATTTTTCTACAAACTTGGGATAGGCAAAGATTTCCTAGACAGAGTGTAGAGGGCAGTGACTGTAAATAAAAATATGGGTAAAACAGACTTCACCAAACTTGGAAACTTCTGTACATCACAAGACACTACTGAGGAACTCAAGCGTCAAGATGCGGACAGGAGAAAATATCTGTGGTACGTATGTCTATACCAAACGACGTGCGTCCAGAAGGATACGAGGATTTCTACAATGCGCTCAAAAGCCAAGCAGCCCCGTTTTAAAACAGGCAGAAGTTAAGCAGACATTCTACAAAGTGCATGAAAACAAATGGGCTCATCAGAATCTGTCACAAGGTAATGCAAATTAAAGCCACAAGAGGACATCACCGCTTGCCATTGGAAAGCTAAAATGAAAAGGACTGACCATACCAAGTGCGGACAGGGATGTGGAGCCACTACTGGTGCAAGTGAAGAACAGTAAAGCCACTTGGGACAACTTTCAGCAGTTCTTACCAAGTGAACCCCTGCCAGTCCTGGAACCATGCTAAGAGTTCCACTCTTAGTATTTACTCAAAAGAAATGAAAATATATATCCATAAAAAATAGTCTCAGGGCCGGCCGAGTGGCTCAGTTGGTTAAGAGCTCGCTCAAGAGTTTGAGCTCTGAACAACAGCGGTTCGAGTCCAGCCCGAGCTGAGCAGCCGCTGAGCTGCCAACAGGTAGCAGGATGGCTCAGCTAAAAAAAAAAAAAAAAAATTAGTCTCGATGTGCCCTAACAACAACAACCCCCCCACCCCCTGAGCTCCCAAAGGATCAGTTAACTGCCTGTCAGAACAAAATTCAATAGAACACTCACAATGTCCAGCAAACACTAAAAACATATTTGATGCAGGGAAGAAGCAGGAACAGTGACCCACGATTAGAAGCAAACCTAGTCAACAGAAGCAGACCCAGGAATGACAGAGATGATGGAATGAGGAAACAAAACATTAAGACAGCTATTATGAATACGTTCAAGAATTTAAAGGAAAATATGAACACAAAGAATAGATAAGGAGTATCAATAAATGGTAACTATAAAAAAGAGCCAAATGGAAATTTTAGAAATTACAAAATACACTTTCTGAAATGAAAAATTCACCGTATTGGTTTAACAGAAGATTGAACACTGCAGAAGAAAGTATCAGTGAACTTGAAGACAGGATGAACTTTCAACAGAACCTATTGAAATGGACGCTTATAGAGAAAAAAGAGAGGCTAGAGGAAAACTAAAGCCTCCGTGACTGGTGGAACACTGTCAGGTGTAACCGGAGTCCCAGCAGGAGAAGTGAGAGGACAGAAAGATACCATTGAAGGTGTAATAGATGAGACTTTTCAAACTTGATAAAAAATATAAACCCGTAGCTCCAAGAATACCAATGAATCCCCAAGCAGGATAAATACAAAGAAAACCACACTAAAGCATATCACAATCAAATTGCTGAAAAACGATAAATGGAAAAAAATCTTAAAGCAGCCAGAATAAGCAAACACATACATACATGCATGCATACAGGGAGATAATAGGAATGCCAGTAACTTTTCATCAGCACTGGTGCAATGCCACCTTTTATAGACAAGGAAGCTGGAGTCAGGGAAGTGAAGGGCTGTCCTAGCGCTGGAAAGACAGACAGATTCTTCTCAGATGCTGAGCTGGTGCCTTGCCCACAAGACACCGAGCAGAGGAATGGATTGAGAGAGTTGGCAAGTTGGGAGGGACAGTGGAAGGGACACCAAAAAGCTATGCTTGGCTTTGCTCACTGCCCACCCTCCCCAGGAAGAGGCCACGCCGTCTGTGCTGGGCCACCAGCTCGGCCTGCTGCTGCTGCTGTGTCGAGACGAGGATGAGGTCACCTGGAGCCATTCCTACCAGTGTGTGTACCTCCTCCTCCAGCTTCCAGTCCAGCAGAAGGGTGAGCCGTGAGGGGGCGGGGGGAGGAGAGGCTGGCGGGGGCCGGGGCCCACTCCCTCCTGTGGAACCGGCCAGGCTCCTGGGCTTCTCGGGCCTCCCTTGTGGTCTGGAGAGGAGGGTGTCACCCCGCAGGCTTCAGCAGGTCAGGTCCTCCTGACTGAGTGCCCCACAACAGGGAACACGGAGGAGTTCATGCGTTTGAACGAAATGAAGAATTTTGAAGCAAAGGCCCGCAGATATTCAGAGACGAAGTCCCACCATTTGGTGAAGGTGGGGCCTGTCAGAGCTGGGGGCCATGAGGGGCTGACAGCTGGCCAGGTGCTCCCTCAGAACCTCCAAACTGCCCATGAGCATGGGATCTGTGTTCCACCCACCTCCCCTGACCATTTTACAGATGGGGCCAGCGGAGGCCGCCCACAACCTGTGCAAGGGGGCAGGTCAGGCAGGGCCAGGACCCTGGTGCTCTTCCCAGGAAGTGGCATCTCCCGTCCCCTTACAATCCCGCTTGCCCCCACCCACCCGTCGCCTGGAGGTGTGGCTGGGCCCATCAGGAGCTGCAGGTTCTAAGGTCTCGTTGACACCTTCGGAACCGGTCTTCCCGTCTGGCCTCTCCTTTGTGGCTCCTCACTAGGTGACATTCCGTCTCGGTTTGTCGGGACTGTCCTGGTCTTCGCACTTCCCCTGTGCCCAGGCAAGCGGTCCGGCTGGCGTCCCACTCCTCTGTCCACTCGCCCCATGTGCTCTTGGGCTCAGCCCTCCCTCCTTGTTGGGCTGGGAGTTGAGGGTTTGGGTTCGAGTCCAAGCTCTGTGCCGAGCTGGCTGGGTGGCCTTGGATAGGTCAGCCAGACTTTCTGGGCCTCAGTTTCCCCATCTTCCAAGTCAGGGCCCCCGAGCCTGACATCCAGCCTGCTCTCAGGACGGGCCGCGTGGTAGGAGCGGTGACCCCTCTGTGCAAATGGGCACCCCCTGGGAATCCCTCCCAGGGAGGCCTGGGTTGAGAAGCCTGTTGGTAGGGCAGGTCCCCCAGAAACAGAGCCTGGGACAGGACTTCTGGTGTGGTTCTCAGGAGGAGGGAGTGAGGGAGCAGGACAGGACAGGGAGGCGCTGAGCAGGGGGCCGTCCCAGCCTGACCAGGGGGAGTGCTGCGGCTCGAACTGCACCAGGAGGTGGTCCCACCTTGAGGCTGGGGTTGGGCTTCTGTACCCCGAGTCAGGCGCTGCCTGTGGACTGCAGGCCGGGTGGCGGGGGTGCCTGCCCTGGGCAAGGCTGCTCACGTCCGTCGTCCCCAGAGCAATTCTCCAGAGAAGGGGCAGCCGTGAGCCTATAGCAGCCAGACTTCCAGCTGCCAGGTGATGGCCTGTGGCCTCCTAAGGCCAGCTGGCCAGGCACCAACAGCCTATCGGGAGCAGGGGGTCAAGCTGGGTCCTTCTTCGGTCCCTGCAAGGCTGTGTACCTGGTATTCGGTCCGTGTCTGGGTAAGAGCAGAGCCCCCAGCCCTCTCTCTAAGCCCACCTGCGGGAGAGCCCGGACGCCTGCTGGCCCTGTGGCCCCTCAGCGCAGCCCCTTTGGCACAGGCCTTGGACAAGAACCTGACCACGGCCCAGCACACGCAGTTTGTGCTCACGCTCCTCCTGCACGGGCTCCGCAGCCACAGCCACCCGCAGTGCGACCTCGCCTCTCGGCTCCTCCTCATGATCTCTGAGTACCACAGCATCAAGCGGGAGCAGGTGGGCGCCCGGGCCAGGCTGGCACAGCCCCTCTGCGCCAGCCACGCGCAGTGTGCCTCCTGCAGGCACCAGAGGATCTGTCAGGGAAGGCATGGGATGGGGGTTGCAGGACGGCCACCTGTCCAGGGCTGCCCGTGTGTGCGTGTGAGTGCACCGCACCCCTTCATGTAGACCTCCTGAGCCGAAGGAGGCAGTGGGTCCCAAGGGTGCTCCTGGCAGTTGGTAGCGGCCAGTCCTGCCTCCAGTTGCCTGGGGCAGCGTGGCCCTAACTGACAGCAGTGCTGAGCCTCGGCGAAGCCCCAGGGCCCCTGCTTTGCCCTGCTGTCCACCTGGACCCCCGGGTCCTGACTTGTTCAGCAGGAGAGAGAAATTGTCCCCCCACCCCAGGATTTGGTTGTCCCCAGCCCCAGGCTTGGTTACCCCCCCGACCCCGTGGGGCTGATTCCCATTTTCAGCACCTGTGAGGTGAGAGGCTGCTCCCACCTGCTGTCCCTATTGGGCCCTGGGTGTGTCTAGACGCCTCATCAGGCTGCACAGATGCCTGCGTGGAGGAGGTGGCAGGGCACAGGGACAGCAGCCGGAGGGGCTGCGCTGAGGCCCCTGCTGCCCGCCCCTCCCCGCACAGGTGGCTGAGATCTTGCAAGGCCTGTTCCAGGTGCTGCCCGGCGTCATCTTCAGCAATGTCCTGCAGACCATGATGAAGGTGGTGACAGTGGTGGGGACCCAGCACACCCAGGAGACAGTGGAGGTCATGCTGTCCCTGTGCCACCCCTCAGAGAGGTAGGTCACCTGCACACACGAACCAAAGTGAACACGTGGCCATCACCTGGGGTCTGCCCTCCTGGTCCACGGTCACTGCCTGGGCAGACACTGGTCCTGGAAAGGCTTCAGCACGACAGCACCCTTCGTAAACTCTAGAACTGGGCCAGTGGGGTCCCCGAAGGTGGGGTCCTGGGCTGAGGGGGCTGAGGCTGAGGCTCCAGCAGTCCCAGGAGGGGATTTTCTACACAGAAATGTCCCTCAGACTCAGAGAGCCCTAGACGCCAACCTGCAGAGGGGCTGGGTCGGAGGTCAGCTGGGTGACGCTAAGACACTAACCAGCCCCCAAACAACTCCTGCCTGCTGCCCTGAGCCCCAGGCACACACTGTCCCAGCTGCCCCTCTGGGCTAAGAGCCACTGGGCCCCAGCCAAGGTCTGCAACACAGAGCATGTTAGAAATGTCGTGTCAGATGACCAGCCCTGCTGAGTCAGGAGCACAGCCTAACCCGCCCCAGTGGTGTGTGGGCGCTGCTAAGTCTGAGAGGCGCGAGGGACCACGGCGTCTCCCTCTGGGAGCACCTCAGGGACCATCACCTGCCTGGGGGCCACAGGGCGTTCTCAGGGATCCAGGTCTGGGAGCACCTCTCAGGCTGCCCCAGGGGTGAGCCCTGCTGGGGTGCGAGCCCACTTTCTCGGCCTTGGCGCGTGCCTTGCCACCTAGTTTCCTGCACCCAGACACATTAGAGAGAAAGAGTGCCGATCTTTTTTGATTTGAGGGAAGGGTTATAAGGGTGAGGAGACAGGCTGGGGAAGGAGAGGGGTTTGCTAGGGGCCACACAGAAAGGGTGCACGCGGGAGCGAGCGCCTAGGCCTGGGGAAGTTGGCCTGTGCTCAGGGCTTCAAGCAGGGGCCCTGGCCCCGCTGGGCAGCAGAACGCAGCCTCCTGGACTCCCCACCCCCATGGAGAGGCGCACGCTTCCTGAGGGCCCTGGTCGCCCACAGGCCATCCTGCTGTCCAGGGGTTGTGTCCTGCCTGCCCCTCTGCCCACTGTGGCCGGCCCGCTGGTGGGACTGGACTCCCTGCCTCCCCAGGCAGGTCGCACCCCTGTGGAAGGCCCTGGCCGCCAAGGACCTGCTGGTCCGCAAGGTCATCACCCTGCTCTACATGAGATTGAAGGTGCGGCCACCCAAGGAGCTCCTCAGACTCTCGGAGCAGGCGCAGATGACTACTCTGCTGGTGAGCAGCACCTCGCCTGCCCGGACCCCTCCCTGACCTGCCGCAACTGCCTCGTCATCCAAAGGCCCCATGGGACACCAGGGTCACCTGGCTGGGGGGCTCGCCATGAGGAGCCGCGGGCTCTTGGTGCTGAGTCCCAGGGTGGGGCCAGAGCCCCTGGGACTCTCCGGGCCCAGCCCGGCGTAGGCAGCGGGGCCTGGGGACAGTTCCTGTGCTCTCTGGCACCAGGCCCCATGCGAGGACCAAGGGTGGTGCCCGTCGGGGCCCTGCTCTGTCGCCCACTGCAGGCCCTGGACACGATTTACGAGCTCCTCTACATGCGGGAGTATAAGGCCATCATGCGCTGGGCCTTCGCGGGGACCCTCCTGGGCCTGCTCACGCAGCTCTACTACCTGTTTGAGGTGGGCATGGTCGAGGGCATCACAGACTACCAGGAGGACACCCTAGAGATGAAACCACTCGGCCCCTGCAGGTGACATGCGTGACTGGCCTTGGCACCCAGCCCCCTCTCCCTGGTTCCTCCCACGTATCCGCAGAACGCCTGGTGGGCACCCGGCCCTGGGCTAGGTGCTGGGGACCCGGAGGGGAGCGAGGGGCTTGTGGGTGAGGGTGGAGAGCAGGGGGCAGGGCAGCCTACAGTTGTCAGGGCTTAGGATCCTGAGTCGGGGGGGGGGAGCTTGAAGGTGACAGCTTGTCCAGACCCAGATGGGAGAGTGGGGAGTGTGGAGGGGGCGGGGAGAGCCAGTGCCACCTTACACTCCAGGTGGAGAGCTGAGCCCCTCCTGACTCAGCTCCTCTGAACACCCCCACTTGCCTCTAGGACATGCCTGGAGGCCCTGAAGGGCCTCTTCTGGACCACCAACTACTGGGAGGTGTTCGCCTGCCTCAAGCTGCAGAAGGCCTGGGAACTCTTTGAACACCTGGAAACCTACACAGAGGGGGTGACCCTCTTGGCCAGGTAAGCACCAAGCCTGGAAAGGGCCTGACCCCAGACTGCACCCCTGATGGGGCCCCCTCCTGCACCCCGTATTGGGACCGTGCACTTCAGATGCAGTTGCCTGAGCCATCTCCCTGAGCGCACGAGGTCTGTGGGGCGAAGGGGGTCGCCCTAGCCAAGGATGGAGCCTGCATTGCTCCCGTGTCTGCCTCTTCTGTCTGACAGAGCCATGGCCCAGCATGACTGTGAGGTCCAGGCCGTCTTGGGGCAGGCGGTCATCCTCCTGACGAGCTCCGAGGAACGAGACAACATCGTGGCCGTCCTCCTCGTCACGGAGGTCAGCCCCTCGTCTCGCCGCCCCAGCGCCCTCTGGCCCTTAGGAAGAAGGCTGGAGAATTGGGCTTCCAGTCTACCCTCCAGTATAAATCTATCCTAACTGGTGCCTTCCATGTCAGACCTACTTGCTGTCTGGAAGTGCTTCCTGACGTCTCACCCCACTATCTCATGCTGTGCTATAGTCTGATTTTCCTTGGTAGCCGAAATGGTGGTCTGACTATACCGGCCCTGCTCAGTTTCTCAACAGTCATGATCTCACCCAGTACATGTCTCGGAAATCCATGGACAACTGCCTGAGCCTGAGCCTGAAAAACCCCAACCAGCTGGTGCGGGCCATGAGCCTGAAGGGCCTCAGAAGTATCCGGATGCACCCTAAGAAGGTGACAGGAGGGGATGCCCACCTCCATCCCAGGCAGACTTCTGGGAGGGAGAGGCATTTGAAAAGAGCCTCCACGACAGGTGGAGTTAGAAGGGGTGGATGGGGAAGTGAGGCCTGGGGCAGGAGAGGGTCAAAGTGTTTGGGGGACCCTGCTGTATTGCACAGGCCTGGGGATTCTAGGATTTCGGAGCTGGAGGGAGCTCTGAGGTCAGCGACTTTGGCCTCTTTTGCAGGCGGAAGTCCCTTACCTGACAGCACACCTGCCAGGTGGTCTGGTTCATGCTCAACCCACGATGTGGAAGACTCAGACCTCGCTGGTTGGGGGTGTCCTTCCTCCTTCCCTGGGCCTCCCAGTACATGTCTGTGCCCCGCAATGCGGGCTGAGGGCGGGGACGGAGGTCCTCTGTTGAGCGTGAAGGGGCGGCAGCAGGTGGGCAGGAGAGGGGGCGGAGAAGGCGCAGGTGGAGCTTCGGAAGGGCATTTCGGAGGAAGCGAGGCAGCTGCGGGATGGCTGCGTCTCCACGCAGGTGGGCCTGCTCCAGAACTGGCTGAACAGGCTGCTGGACAGCTTTCTGACGCCTGAGCCCCAGGACCTCATGGGCCTGATGAAGATCGTGGGTGACATCCTGTGCCACCTGGGCGTGCAGGGCGTCGGTGCTTTCAGCCTCCAGATAGCCCAGAACCTGCGGCCGCTGTTTGATGATGTGAGACTCCGCGTTTGCGCAACTCCTCACCCCCACCTCCACCCCCGGGCTTATGGGTAATGTCCGCTGGCCGGTGGAGGAGCCCTGAGAGAACCTGGCCCTGGGGAAGAGAGGGTCCTCCAGGCGGTCACGGAAGTAACCATTCCCAAGCCACACACACGCCTCACCCAGAGGACACCGGCCGTGGTGGTAGCTGGGGTTGACAGGGGAGGGCAGCAGCCGTCGGTCTCCAGAAAGACCCTTGGGGCAGCCCATGGAGAACAGGTGGGGTAGCTGGCAGCCCGGGCGGGCTAAGTGATTTCAGGTGTTCTGAGTAAATCAGGAGCGGTCAGGGTGGTGAGGCTTAAGCCAAGGCAGGCAGACAAGCGGCAGGTGAACCTCAGGGGTTGACGGCACATGGGGAGTGGAGAGGAGGACAGGGAGGTTTGGGGGTGAGCCCCGTAGGGGTGTGGCAGCTGGGAGATTGATGCCCTGGTTCCTGGGGGTGAGGAAGAGGGAGTGGAGCCAGGTGGGGGCCAGATGGTGCTGCCCTTGGTGAAGGGGTCCTGGAGACGCCTGGTGCTGCTGCGTTAGGCTGAGGAGGGGGTGCTGGAGCAGCAGGCCCGCCAGACTCAGTCCTCACCACCACCCCGGGACAAGCACCCTGCTGTTGGCCACTTTTTTACAAAAGGTGAAACTGAGTCATACACTGAAGGAGCCTTGCCCAGGGTCACAGAGCTAGGAAGTGTCAGATCTGGCACCAGAGTCTGTGCTCTAACCTCCATGCTGGCCTGCCTGGGAGTTGGAAGTGTGACTGCTGTCAGCCTGGGGTTCCCACAGAAATTGCAGAGGAGGGAGGCCAGGCAGAGGAGGCCAACCTCGGAGGAGGTGGTGAACGGAACGGGGACAGCCAGGACAGCAGGCAGCCCCAGCTGGTGTGACAGGCTGGGGTGTCAGGCGGACAGCAGTGTCAGTGGGGGAGGGGGGTGAAGTCTGCTGGCCCTGAGCTGGGGATGGGTGGATGTGAGGGCGAATACTGGCCACTGCAGGTCCCTGGGCCAGAGAGGAAGGGGAGAGATGGGAGGGTGCCTGACACGGCGGCTGCGCTGGGGCTGGGGGCTCCCGCCTGCTGCTTGCCTGAGGGGAGGCCTGTCCGTCTCCACCAGGACCGGGAAGACGTGCGTGGAGGGGCCATCTTCCTGTACGGAAATGTCATCTACAGTGGCGGCAGGAGGTATCAGCCGGCGCTCAGGAAGCACGCCTTCTGGTCTCTGGTGCCGCTGCTCTTCCACCTGGCTGACTCCTGCCCTGCCGTGGTCACGGTGAGTGTCCCGGCCATGCCTCTGGCCGGACAGCGTGCTCCGGAGCGCCCCAGGCTGGCCTGGACGCGGGATGGGAAGGACCCACCTGCCTGCGGGTCTGTCGGGCGGCTCAGGAGGACTCAGCCCCGGTAAGTGGAGAGCAGGGCGAGGCTGCCATGCTGGAGAGGCCACGTGGCCTTGCCGGGGAACGTGCTGAGGGAGAGCAGGAGAGGACCATCCAGGATGGCGGTTCCCTCTGCCCCACCTGTCTCCAGGTTCACCCCTACCTTACCCAGTGAGCCTCCCCTGGCTTCAGAGAACCCCGCACATCAGCCTTGGGAACCTGGCATTTGGGTCTGGGGTGCATACCATGCCTGCTCCCTGGCGCCCGCCCCCAGGGAGAGGCGCAGTGTGTAAGTCCCACAAAGGTTATGGGGCGGCCCTGTTGCTACCAGCCATTTCACAGGCCCCAAGGCTTCTTAGGTCGTGTGTTTGGGAGGCACCTCTGATCTGCTGGAATACCCTGTCCAGGTGCCCACTCCTGAGGACAGTCTTCCTGGAGGGCGTGGCAATGGGACAGGGCTGTTACCTCTCTCTCTCTCTCTCTCTCTCTCTCTCTCTCTCTCTCTCTCCACCTGCAGAAGACAAAGTTCACCTTCCTACGCTGTGCCATCTTGCTCAAGTGGGAGTTTCGGAAGGAACTGTTCAGCAGATTGGCATGGGGTCATGGCGTGGGTGCCGAGAGCGACATTTTTATGTACATGGTAAGATGCTGGCGCCCTCCCAGAGGAGGGGCAGGGAGGCCAGGGAGGTGGAGATGGGCTGTGTGCAGTCGGGGTCCTCTAGGAATCGGCTCACCCCCAGCGCCAGCCCCAGGTGGGGGTGGGATGATGTCGGGACCCCCTTGGCGACGTCTACCTTGGCCCTGTGCATGTCGACTGACTGCCCGCTCTGTGCCTCTGGGGGGAGGCGTGGTCTCAGCAATGGGCTCAGGCCTCCCAGCTGGGCCAGGTGGGAGACCACCCCACCATGTTCCTGGACTGGGGAGCCCTGCTTGGCAGCTGTCTCCACCCACCGCCATCTCTGCCCCCTCCCCAGGTGGAGAGCAACTTTACCAACCACCACCAGTTTTTCATGCAGGCCTTGATTTACCTGAGCAGCCCTCACAAAAACCTGAAGCTGACGGCCATGAAGTTCATCGGTAGGTGGTGGCCCAGTGGCCTTGCACTCCCAGCCCCGGTGCCCATCAAGCCCCCCCCACCCGCTCCCCCGTGCCCTGAGCAGCTGCATCAGACTGCTGAGCGCCAGGGCCCTGGGATCTGCTCCAGCAAGGGCAGTGGGCTGGGCCCAGGGTGGGCATGATTGGCCCCCTCAGCCAGGCCCTGGTCTCCTGCCACCCTCACCTTCCTGCTGCGCAGGGGGGATACTGCAGGACTACTTCGGCAGCCTCTGCTTCTCCTTAAAGACGGACGACGTGAAAACCCTCAGGAAACGTGAGCACAGTGCCCGGGCTGGGTCTTGTCTCTTCGCCTGGACCTCCCTTCCACACCCACACAGGCTGCCCGCCCCGGTCCCCAGCGCCCCTGCCCTGCCCGGCCCCGCTGGAGTGGCCGTGCAGTCAGACCCTTGGGTCTGTGCTGCAGAATTCGAGGTCCTCAAGCAGGAGCACGACTCTGTCAGCCGCAAGTTCTACCACAACCACTTGGACGACATCATCGAACTGTCCCAGAGCGTGACCCGCTGAGCCTCGGTGGCCGGCTCTGCTGGGGGTAGTTGTGTTGTGCAGTTCTCTCTAGTAAACGTGACGGAGTCCCCCTGGCCTCCTGGGCTCTCCCCGCCCCTCACTTACCCTCCCAGTGCCCCCTCCTCGGGAGGCCACCCGGGCCTGAAGGGCGGGCCTGAAGGATGTCTCCTTGGGCCAGCATGAGGCCCAAACTCTCCTGCTGGCACTAGGCCGGCCCAGAGACTCGGGGCTCATCCTTGATGAACCCTCCCCAAGCTTCCCCGGCCTTCCCAGACCCTGTGATGCCTCCTCCCCAGCACCTAGAATCTTCCCGCATGCCCGCCCTGGTCCAGGCCCCCCAGCCACCCCTTCTGCACCGTCCCTTCTCTGCTCCCGAGCCCCAGCAGAGCTTTCTAAATCCCAGCCCGTGCCTGGCGCTCCCTCAGACCATGTTTAAATCTGGCACGTGGCCCTGAGGCCCTCAGGGATCTGTCCTTGCTGCTCTCCCTGAGCTGGGCAGTGCCCGGGCCTTTCCAACGTGGACATCAGCCCCCACCCCAGGCCCTGCTGACGGCCCCTCACTGTGGCGCACAGCCCCCTTGCTCCGAGGGGCTGCTCTGCGGAGGGCGTTCCAGCATGTGCCAATCACTAAGTGTGAATCCAATGCAGGCGTGAAGACGAGGACGAGGCGTCATGGGCCCGCTTAGGGGAGAAGCACAGGTGCTCCCGACCACCATCCAGGGAGTGTGTGATGGGCCATGTCAGAGGCCCTGCAGCCACCCAGACTTGACCTCCAGCCGGGAGGGGCGGGGAGCCTTGTGGAGAAGGGCACGCAGGAGCCCAGCCTGTAGGCACCACCAGGGCATGGGTCCAGAGGGGCTGGGAGGGGCAGAAGGTGCCAGCTGAGCAAGGAGAGAGGCCTGACTGACTGACACCTAGGGGTCCAAGAGGGCGGATGTGGGAGGGCCCGCTGGAGGGCAGGGGGGCTGGGCTGGGGAGCTGCAAATGCCCGCCTGGGGGCAGGACCCGAGTCTGCTGGTGACACAGGGCCGGTGTGGGTGTTGGGCAGGAGAGGAACCTGTGCCGTCCTCCAGGGCCTTTCCCTGCAGGTGGAGGGCTGCAGCCCTTCACCCAGCATGCTCTGGGGGGCCGCCTTCCCGCCTCGGTCCCCCCAGCTGTCAGGAGAGCAGGCCCATGTGCATGCCAGGTGGCCCTTGTCCTGAGGGGTACCGAACCCTCAGGCCAGCGCCTGCTCAGAGCCAGGGGTGGGGCAGGGCTGGGATTCAGAGGTCTCTAGGGCTGGCCAAACAGCAGTCCAGGCCCCAGCTATGTGACCTCGGCCACACCTCCCTCCTGGAGACCTGCTGGTGACTTAGGATGAGCTGGAGCCCTCTCTGGGCCCCAGAACTACCTGCCTCCCCCCAGGGGTGGGGCCTGAGAGTAGAGTCTCCCTCCTCTGGTCAGCAGGTAGGCCTCCCGAAGGCACCCTGCTTGCATCGTCCTCCTGTGCTCCAGCTGGGCACTCACCCACCAGGCAGCCCACCTGGATGCCCAGCCGTCCACGCCACTCACCTCCAGCCTCAGCCCAGGCCCCTCCCCCAGGAATCTCTCGGGGTCCCGTCGGCAGGCTGTCGCCCTCCTCTCCTCCAGTGAAGCAGCGCCCCCAGAACCACTCCATTCTCCCTCTTGCCTGTCCTGCCCTCCTCTGTCCAACAGTCTGTCAGCTGCTTCCCCTCCGGGGGATGGGGGTCTCTGAGCCTGCAAAGGGTCCGGGGGGGGGGATCAGGAAGGACATGAGGGGACAGGGTCCCGGAGGTCACAGGCAGCTGAGCTGTCCTGGAACCCCTGCTTCCAGGCCACCTCCACCCACCATCTGCCTCCCCAGGAACTCCCGGTGATGGAGAAGGAGGAGGGAGCGGATGGGGGTGCTGCCTCCTGCCTCCCGACCCCCCTCCCCTGGCAGGGCCCATATGGTGTTCCCAGAGAGCCATATTGAGCCCAGCAACACCTCCTCTGCTTTCCCGGATGGCTGGGATCCGCCCTCGCCCTGCGGCTGGCCCCCTGTCCCCAGCTGCGGTCCCACTTGCTGGGAGGCCAGGCTTGGGGTGCTGGGAGAGGGCGCGCAGGAAGCCCACCCTACCCTCCTGGGGAGGCCCTGCCTTCGTGTCCCCTGGGATTTGGGGAGGGGTCTGAATTTGTCCTAAGATGCCACACGTTAATGCAAGTTTCTAGACTAGTAAATCTTGAGTCTCATAATCCTGAACTCTGGGACCTTGGTGCTCTTTGTTCAGGACCTGCTGTCCCCAGGTGGGCCCTCGGCACCCAGCCTGAGCCTGACCCCCCCCACGTTCTTCACCACACCTGCCCCAGGCCAACGGCCCTCTCGGGGAGGACGTAGCACCCGCCAGGGGGGAAGGTTCTGGGGCACCCAGCCGGGAGGCTGACGCGAGCTAGCAAGGACGGCTTCCTCCCAAGCACCCACTTCCGGCTCTGCCAAGGCCTTATATGGAGGTGATTCCGCTCACGTGGAGCAGTGACTGGCACATTCACCAGCTATTCACAGACGCCCCTCCCCTCGTGGTTATTTTTAGGGCCTGAAAAAATACTCCGGGAGCCCACTGCTCCCCATGCCTGGAGAGTCACAGACTGCGGGGCTGGAAGGGCTCTCAGTCACCCAGTGCTGCTCTGACAGGGAAACAGGCCCAGAGGGGAGGGCTTTGACCGAGGTCAAGGCCTGCTGCCTCCAGCCAACCCTGCTGCCGCGGAGCGGGGTCCAGCGGCCGTAATCAGTTATCCTCATGCCAGGGTCTGGCTCACCTTTGGGCCCTTCCGGCTGCTCTGAGCAGACCCAGCCTGGGGCGTAGGGATGCCCCGGTGGGCAGTGGTGTACCAGGTGGGGACGTGTACGAGGGTGTCTTCCAGGGGCCAGAAACACCACCGCCATCTCAGAAGGATCTGCAGGGAGGGGACTGCGGAATCCCTCACTCCGCAGAGGGTCCAAGTCCTCCCTGGGCCACATAGGCAGTAGGTGGCAGATCAGGGATGTAGGTGGGGGCCTCTGTGACCCCCCCCCTCTGACCAGTGAGCTCCAGGTCTGGTGGCAGCTCCAGGCCGGGCCTTGGCGCCCTCCTCCGTCAACGTGACCACCACCATCCTCAGCCCCACACTTCTTAGGACATGGTGGTGCTGCTGACGGCAGGTAAAGGGTGGCAGAGGAGGTGGTCCTAGCTTCACTGGTCACAGGTGGCCAAGGAGCATGGCACGTGTACAAAGATGCCAAGACAATTAAGGGCACACAAGGTCCAGGACGACCTCTGGTGGTCTGGCTCGTTCTGGCCAGAGTGGCTTCTGGTGGAGCGAAGGGCAGATGGAGAAGCCACGGCTGCCCTTGGGTAACCTACCCGTAAAGGGGAGGGTCCAGGAATGAGAGCCAGGAGCGCCGCGTTCAGACTCACGATCTGCGGGACACTGGCAGCATCACCTAGCCACCCTGAACTCTGTCTCCATGGCCACAGCTAGCATCAGTCCAGAGCAGTGCCCAGCACAGGGCTCACCACGAGCAGGTGACAGAGGGCCCGAGGGTACTGACAAGTCGTGGGACTGTCCCTGGCAGGATTCTGGCACTGATAGCCAGGGAGGGGACAGCAATTTATGTACCTAGTGACTGTGCTGGGTGGTCAGGGGGCATTGAACAGCTGTGACCATGGATGAGGCTCAGGCAGGACAAAGGACGAGGCCGCTTCCGGAGAGACACAGACTTTTTGGCAGAAAGGACTAGGATGGAGAGGAAACCAGAGTCTGGTCACAGGCCAACCCTGACCCTGGGCACACGCTGCCGCTGACCCTGGGCACACGCTGCCCCTGACCCTGGGCACACGCTGCCACTGACACCAGTGGTTTACACTGTTTGAGTCATTCCACTTGCATGCAGAGAGTGGGGCTTGGGTCCATCTTGTTTGTGTTGGGTCCGTTTTATTTTTCAGTTTTCCTGTTGCATGTGGTGCTGGTTGTGGGCAGGACAGGGGAGGTCAAGGAGCTGGCAAGACCCTGCCTTGGTCACCCGACAAGGACAGTGGTGAACCCCTGTAGAAGCCCAGCCTTCCAGACCCTGGCCCCGTGCTCTGAGCTGCCTTCACCAGGCGTGCAGCTGGATGCGCAGAACCTTTCTCCACCTGGACCTCCTGTTCCCAGGGGCCCGCCAGCTTCCATCTGCAACAGCCGAAGGGGGGGGGAAGCCAGTACAGGCCACAGCCCTCATCGGGACTCTCTGGGCTTGGAAAGCGAGCACAGTGTGTGTGTGTGAGATTTCACTGAACATGCGGGCAGGGCCACATGAAATGTGCATACGCATTGCATTTCGGTTCAGACGACTGTATAACAAGCCTCAGTTGGAGTCAGGATTTGCGGCCAAATCTCACCAAGAATTTTGGCTTTTTGAAGTGCTCAGATGGTGGCTGGTTCTTGAGCGCCTTCTGATGGCCCTGGAGGGCTTTGCACTGCCTCCTCTCAGCTGCTGTGTGGCCACACTTCCCTCCCTCTCTGTTGTCCGCTCATATAGAGGGTCACTCACGGTCACTCAGCCCCTCCCAGCCATGCACAGTCATCCTCGGTCACTTGGGATCCCCTGGGGTCACTGCGGTCACTCGCGCAGGAGGCAGCACCCACCGAGCCCCTTCCCCATCCCATCTTCGCCTGCTAGTGAAGACTCTGGGGAGGGGGGCGGGCGCAGACACAGCCATACCAGCCAGGTTCCCACAAGCTGAGCCCCCAAAGGGGAGCAACAAGACATGGGCAATGCCAGGGAGCCTCCTTGCTTGCAGCTTGGCTTCATTGTTTTCATTTTGAATGACACGGTGGGGGGCCATTATCTCGGGCCCTGGGGCCTCTGTCCACTGCCTCTGGGGGCTCATTGAGGTCCCCTAGCTTCCTGAGGCCCGGGGACTCCCGAGGTGGGGAGTACAGCCCCGGGGAGGGGGCCTCCCAGCCTAGCAGCTCCAGCAGGCTCCTTGCAGCGGCTAAGGCTGCCCCCTGCTG